GCTGCAGAGCTTGCGACCTCGAGGCTGAAGCTTAGGGGCCCTTAACCCCAAACCCGATACCTCTTGGAAGAAGCTCGATGCATGCGAGAAACAACCCGCAGACGCGTGGCCCCATCTTGCCCACACATGGGGCGGGCACTGAAAGTCAAGATGTCGACTTTGGCGCACGCCTTCGGTTTCTCAAAGGGGTCTGAATGGTGCGTGGACTCCGTGGCCAGTGAGTGGTGATCGAATGCGAAAGCTCCAGCTGCATTGCCGCAAACACGGACTTACCACAATCAAAAGGCCTCTATGAAACCTTGCATGCCTGAAGGAAGCCGCCCGCGCAGACCTCCATGCAACAGCAAGCCGTACAAACCGAACACCGGAGGCTTGCGAAGATAGGCAGGCACCTAATTCGCCTCTCGGCTTCCTGCCGGCATCTAGAACGAGCAGACCCGGATCCGGGTCTCCTTCCCAACCCTTCCCCTTCCCCACACCGATCTTTAGGCTTGGAATGGAATGGAAGGGAATGGAGCGGCTAGCAGCAAAGTTGCAGCCGCGGGCGGGATTCGGGAACCGCGATGAGGGGTGTCTCGTTGCGACTGACCGCACGTGCGGCCGCCCCAACTGCATGAAACCTTCATAATCCCAGCTTCCGCTCAATGATGCAGCGAACGCAGGGTGTAGCGCTCTTCAGCCACTCGTGCTGACCTCATCCAACAAAGAAGAAGGCTTCAAACACAGGCTCTTGCTCAAAAAACCGCTGCATTCCTCTCTAAGCTGAAGGAAAGCTAGAGGTCAAGCTGCTACAGATAATTGCGATCTTAAGGTGCCTGTGGCATGATGTCTCTCGGCAATGTGCATCTTCGCAGAAAAAAGCCTCAGCGAGCAAGCGTGCGAAGTTCAAGGACTGCGTTTTGACCGTTATTTCTTCACAACACGCTTGATACAACTGTCGTCACGATTTGTTACGTTTGCTGCTGCAGCTACTCGTAGTACTCCGAAACTGATGCGCTTTCGCATCCCAAGCCCAAAGACCCTGCACCCAGAACTCCAACGGTCCCTAACACCCCAAAACTTATCCAAAAATCCTCTCTCAACCCCCCCCCCCCCCTAAAACCCAAAACTCGGAACACTGCCCGAGTGGTTCAGTGCTTGAGAAGCTCTTTGCTGTTGTCAACTGCATCTCGCCACCCGCCCCACCCCCCCACCCCCCCCGCCCCCTCGCAGAGTCCGAGAGTTGAAGACTTCACGGGTTTCGGGCTTCGGAGGGTTTAGGGTTTAGGGTTTAGGGTTTAGGGTTTAGGGTTTAGGGTTTAGGGTTTAGGGTTTAGGATTTAGGGTTTAGGCTACCCTGTGCACCCGCGCAACTTCACGGCGACAAGAGGACCTGAAATGTGGGCAACGTAGGGTTCTTTTTCAATAAGGGGTTCTTGTTGAAGGACGCACAGGGTCTGCGGGTAGGGGGCCCTAAGAATTCGAACCGGGCTTTGCAGAACCTTCTGGTATAACAATATATGAGCTACAAGGCAAAACAGCACTACGCCAATGATTTGGGCTTCTTCATCCGACCGACCTGAAACGGTTCGGCTCACCTCTCGGACCCGGCTCGTGACTCGGTGCCGACAATATGATGGGCATTCTTCTACTTGGAGGTTCATGGTGCTTATGAACCATTTAGGGTTTAGGGTTTAGGGTTTAGGGTTAGGGTTTAGGGTTTAGGGTTTAGGGTTTAGGGTTCAGGGTTTAGGGCTACTTGGAGGCTCATGGTGCTTACGAACCAAATTTCACGGTACTTATAACCCACTTACAAGCCCCTCAAGTGCCCTAATCTGGTTTTCAGTACAGTTCTACGTACAGTTATAATTGGTTCATAGGTACCATGAACCTGCAAGTACTTGGTGTATGCACTGTGCCGCCATCATCATCATCATCACCATCATCATAAACCCTAAACCCTAAACCCTAAACCCTAAACCCCTAACCCTGAAACCCTAAGCCCGAAAGCCACCACCAAGGACTCCAAAACCACCAAAGGTCCGGGACAGCGGCTGCTGATGGTCGTACCCACCTGCATCCTGGAAGGCCGGGAGTGCGCAAGACCTTTCCTTCTTGGGGTTTGGGGTTTAGGGTTTAGGGTTTAGGGTTTAGGGCTTAGGGTTTAGGGTCTAGGGTTTAGGGTTTAGGGTTTAGGGCTTGGGGTTTAGGGTTTTAGCCAATATCCTGATGTGATCCTTTCTCTACCATTGCTGGCTGCCTGGTGCTCATCAGGTTGACGATTATCGACTAGCATCGTTGTTGTGATCATTGCCGATGCGATGGCTGCTAAGATGGCTGCAGTACTATTGCGACGTGTTTCTTTACGATGCTGACTCTGGTCATAGCGGGTGCCTCTCCGCCTTCTCAGGATCTGGAGTGCTTGTCATCACCCTCCTGTGGTGGCAACAACTAAGTTCCTCAACGAGAGCTCTTATTCACAAAACCGAGCTCAGCTAAACGCGCAAACCTTCGGAAACCCTAAACCCTAAACTCCCCAAGCCCTAAACCCTGAACCCTGAACTGCTCAGAGTAGAAACTTCGGGTCACTCGTCGTTGCCTCTGCCTCGATGCCCAGGTTTGGGGAGACCCGCTGCCGCACGCCTGCACCCGTGCTCAGGATTCGGATTTGGCTTTCAGGATCGAGGACTTGAGGGTTGAGGGTTTAGGGTCTAGGGTTTAGGGTTTTGGATTCAGATTTGGCTTTCAGGATCGGGGACTTTAGGCTGTAGGTCCAAGAATGTCAGAGTTTACGGATGTACGGTTGTTCTGTTGAGGGACAGGGCTTGGGGACTCTTGAAGGTTCCAGGTTTCGGGGCCGCCGGGTGGCGTTTAACATGAGGTCTAAGGTTGCAGGCCTTTGCGGTCCTTGCGGTGCAGTGAAATACCTGAAGCTGCGAACAAGCCCGCTTCCAATGCGTGCACATCCCGTGCTAGTTCCAAACGACACCCTGAAACCCAAAGGGCTCAAACCCTAAACCCTAAACCCTAAACCCTAAACGATCTCGAAAAATTGGGTCCGGACCTGCTCCACAGGCATGCTCGGATGGCTGCGATGGCGAAACGCACCCGGGGGGGACTCGTCGCTGTTTAGCTGGAGCCCTTTCCCGCAGTTCTGAGAGAAAGTCCACAACAAAAGCAGCGCTTTTGGTCTTTAGTAAGGAGGGTTAGAAAGTCGGGTTATGGGGATCATATAAGAGTCATACGAGGGTTTTCAGGGGATACTCTAAGTAGACAAACTAAGTCAAAAAAACTTCCAGGTAGGGACCAGAAGATGGGCGAACCTCCATCATTGCCCCGCCTACAGCCCAAAACACGGTCGTTGGGTTTGGGGTTTAGGGTTTAGGGTTGAGGGTTTAGGGAGGGTTGAGGGTTGGGGGTTGGGGGTTGAGGGTTGGGGGTTGAGGGTTGAGGGTTGAGGGTTGAGGGTTGAGGGTTGAGGGTTGAGGGTTGAGGGTTGAGGTTGAGGGTTGAGGGTTGAGGGTTGTGCTTAGGTCTTGGGGGCTTGCGGTTAGCTTTTCAGACGTCTTGGCATTTTTCGCTTGGGGGAGGGGGGGGGGGGGATTTAGGCGTTGGTGTTGGCCCTTGCGGGGTTGGAGGGTTTTGGGGTGGGTTTTGGCCTAAGCCCTATACAAACCCTTTTGGGGTTCTTTGGAGGCTTTTTGAGTTCAGGGGGGGCCCGCGGCTTGAGCGAAGCAAGCGGTGAGCAGCATGGAACCACTTCTCCCACATCTTGAAGGTTTAGGGCCTAGGGTTTAGGAGTTCAGGTTTAGGGTTGAGGGTCTGTTGGGGACGGGTTAGGGTTCGTGTTCCAGGGTTGGGGTTTTGGGGTCTGAGTGCTTAAGGCTGCTAGAGGGCCTTCATGAAAGATCTCGACCCCTCCCCGCTTATGACGTCGTGTTTCTTCGCTGGGTCATCGGGCAAGCCGAAGAGCTGTCAGCAGACTGTTGAACACAGATCCTAGGGAAGCTTAAACAGCCATATGGCCAAAAGAGCAGGCTAAATTTAAAACACATGGACCACACCGGGAGGGACTTCGCTTGCTGCTTACTGCGAATTGTACCTGAGAAGATTTGCATTTGTGTAGATACCTTGGAGCATGTCAAGGGTGAAAACTGCAGCCGCATTCCCATCATCGGTGTGGCACAATTTTGGCCGTAGTGACCAGAATCGCGTTCATCAATACACCGCGAATCTCTCACATGGGACACGTCAAAACTGCCAGGTCAACTGGCGATGCATCCACGTCGCACGGCTCATGGAGAGTAAGCGCCGAAGCCTCAGCCATTTGCATCTGGGGCTGGGTCCAGAATCTCTAGTGCGTTCTGGGCAGCAACAGAACAGTACGACATGGCCCGGTAAAGCAGAGCCTTCCTCGTGACATGACGGGAAATTGACGCATGGTATTGGCAACCCAGCGGCTCGATTGGAAGGCAGGGCTGCCACCCCAGCAGTGCAAAGTGCCATCATCAAGGCGCCTGCGTACCGCATGTACTGCATACACCCTACACCCCCAAATCGGGGGAGAGGGGGGCTTCAGCTCAAGGTCTTGTAGCTGCAAGGAGGACTGAAGGTTGCATGCCGCAGTCAAGGCGCGCGCACGAGTCGTGAGCTCCAAGAGACAGCTGCACCGCCGCGGTTCCAACAGGCAGGCTGACATACGGCAGAGCGTCGCCTCAGGCTTCGAGCCTTCTGGGGGGCCTTCGGGGCAACTCTACGACACTGTTCCCTGGCCATGCCGTGTGTTCTTAACACTTCGTATGTGTGTACACACATTGCGCTACATTGTAACTCCATGTAGGCGAAGGACGGCATAAGCGCAGCAAGCCATACTGGATGTGACACCAGTACAAGCAGCACGAGCAAGTAGACTGCGCAGGATGGTGTTTCATAAAATGGGATCGCAGGACGAAAATATGCTGTATCATTTCCTTCTGATACACTAGAAAGTTGCAACATCTTACTACTTCCGAACAAAAGACCTAGACCTTGGGCACCGGAGACGCCTTTGGACCAAAGCGGGCTGCTGCGGCCGAGCTGCCCATCTCCCCGCCGGCGTCGCCGACTTTGTCAAGCGGCGCGGTGCCGGGCTGGCCAGTTTGCTGATACCTCAGACCGCAACGCCGTGAAGAAAGAAAATGAAGCGAATAGTATATTCTAGTGTACCGTAGTATGGTGCACACTATAGTATACTATGGTATGAAATTGCATATTATGGTAAAAATACGTGGCAGCATACTATAGCATGCGATTGTGCAACGTCAAAGGCTCTCAGGAAGGCAGGTCGTATCAAGTTTCTCATATGACTCTAGTACGCCTTTGTCATCTAGCCTGCCGTAGATACTGCAATATGGCTCTGTTTCAGCAAAGGACGTCTCATGAATCGTGTCCTGAAACACCAGACAAGAACCAACACTTCCCACAAGCAAACTATTTGCTTAGAACATCCTCGCCGTGTAAAGTAGCACTACCATCGGGGTGGGCACTGGAGACGCAACGTGGGTGAGCGGATGTGAGCGGCTATGCAAACTGGGAGTGGGCGCTTGTAGGATCGGTGGTGGTGAATACCAAGACAAATCAATTTGAACATAAGTTAGCTGATAGGAAGATATAGGAAGTAGGGAGCGCTTGTCGTGGCTTGGGGCACTGCAGGGCTACCCCGCATTTGAGCTGAGCTGGCGCGGAGAACACGGACGTCCTACAATCAGGTGGAAAACAAGACGAAGCTCAAGTCTACAAAGGTGCAAAGTAGGATACATGCCTCAAGGTTCTCTACCACACGCACATGATCATACTGCAGAGCTGCCTTTTGATAGATAAGCTACGAAGTGCTCGACTGAAAAAAAAACCTCTTCCTGCATTTGAGAGGCTGGTTCCAGCCCCAGCACTTGACGCCGCCTCCCTCGAGGATGGCACAGGTGTGGTGAAAGCCAGCAACGACGGCGGTGGCCTTCCTTTTTTGCATATAGTGCTATATACTATTGTAAGGCATTCAGTTCGGGGTTCTTGGGGCGTTTCGAGGGCTCAGAAGCTCTAGCCTCAGAGCTCGCCCGTGCAGCTGAAACTAATGTGCCCGGCCGCAGGTTCGCGCCCAGATCGACTGGCGGGAGGTTGTCCCCCATGTCGCCCGCGGTCTTGCCGATGTTTGGCGTTGTGGTACTATCGGTTCCCGCGCCGAGCTGCCCCAAGTTGTTGCCGCCCCAGCACTTCACCTCAGTTCATTACTCATTGCAAAAACCCGGGTGTGCCAGGCGGCCGAGAGCCCGACAGCCGAGTCTGGCGGCTCACGTGAGCGCAGGCTCTCTGGTCATGACATCACATGCGCGAGCAGGGAGACCGTGAAAATGCCTCTCCGAAACTCCGAAACTGCCACCGAGCGACCGCGCCGTTGTCAAGCAGAGCACAAGCATGGAACGTGCCGGCACTGGCCTGCACGGCACGGCGGCCTGTCCCCAGGTCGACTGCCACGGGGACTGCGGACTGGGAGATGCTCGACGCCCGCCCCAGCTGCCCATGGCTGTTGGACCCGAAACAGGCGAGCTGCGAGGTCTCGCTGGGGTGGTCCAAGATCGCACAGTTGAAGGAATCCCCTGGGGCACAGCTGAGCACGCGATGATCACCCAAAAGGCCTGCGAAGCTCACGGGGGGCAGGAAGTCTCCCATCTCATTGCTGCTGTCACCAGCATAAGCGTTGCTGTTGCCATAGCCGGATGGGTCGAAGCCGAGCTTGTCCTTCGTGCCTAAGCCCCAGCATTTCATGGACTCATCATCCAAGATGGCGCAGCTGTGCGATGCACCCGGGCACATCTTTACAACGGTGCGGCCCGCGCCCATGTCCACCGGCGGAAGGTTGGCACCCATCTCCCCAGTACCGTCACCCCTGCTGTTGAGGTCACCCAGACCCAGCTGGGCTTGGGTGTTCTTCCCCCAGCATTTCATCTCGCCGACGTCATCCAGGGCGCAGAAGTGGAAGCCCCGACCGCCCTCCACGGAGGTTGCGACGCGGCCGGGTCCCAGGTCCACGTGGCCCACGGAGTCGGGGTCGCCCACCTCCAAAGCAGCGCACACTCCAGCACATGGGTGGCTTAGGTCCAACTTGTGCCTGTTTGGGGGACCCGGGACCGCAACACGGGCAGTACGATATAGAGAACTGCCGGGCCCTCTAGCAACTACCTTGAGGCCCACGTAGTCCCTCTAAAGGTACCTGCACCCTTTGGGAGAGCGCACTCTGGGCCTCTCCATCGTCGTTGCGCCCGACGCACTTCAACTTGCTAGCGACGCCATCGTCCAAGGCGCAGAGAGTGGTGTGGGTCTGCCCCACACCGGCCTTGGTACTTGCAGGCTAAGGCATCTAAGGCTGGCAAGTAGCGCATGGGCGCATTTCTCACGAGGGAGCCTTCCAGCGCTGGAAAATCTGCCTCCGAGAGAACATCTCCGCGCAACTTCATCACAGTGCCACATTGCAGCAGCCACTGTTGAATTGGAACAACATGCGCTGGCATACCGGTAGAGCTTTTGACGTGCCAGCTGCGTTCTAGACTACGGTATACAAGTCATCCTTAGATCGAAGACGGATAACTACAATTCATATACTGCCTATGAGCCCCCTTCACTCATGAGTGTCGCGGCTGGGCCCCTAGGCACCGGGCCAACAGCGCCACCGGTGCGGCGGTGGTCGTGGTGGAAGTCCGGGCGGCACAGGAGATGCCTCGAGTTTGGGGGTTTGGACTCGGGGTTTTGGGGGGCCTTTCTGGGGGGATGATTGTGGGAGATACAGCGATACAGCACTTCATAACCGAAGATATCAAAAGACTCTCGTAGTTCTGTGTTGAGACTCTTTGCGTGGAGGGCCTGCTGAGCTACAAGTACTATGCTATATCATACTAGATCATCGATGCTTCAAAAGTTCTACTATTCTGTTCACGACAGAGCTCGGAACACTGCGGGACGATGGGAGGAGATCTGAGGGCCGGGCACGTGTCGGGCAAGATCTGTGGGCTCTGGGTGTACCAGGTCTTGCTCTCGTATTCGGCCTGCACCCAGGACTCCTCACAGGGGAACTCGGCCACGGGCGAGGTGTCGCAAGCGCCTTTGCCAGCGGGCGTAGGCTCGGAGACGGCGATCCCAGAGGTGTCCACGACGAGGTCCTGGCAGCAGAGAGAGAGAGAGAGAGAGAGAGAGAGAGAGAGAGTATATAGTGGAGTGGATTCTAGCAGATTCCCGCAAGGACCTGTCTAAATGCTGACAAACATACAACAACTCAGTCACAAGTCACAACTGCACCACACACTTGTCAGCTCAGCCCGGGCGAAGCGGTCCTGGCAGGCCTGCACAGCTGGGTGCGTGAGGTTCGACTGGAGGACCTGGATGTAACAGATCACCTTCGAGGCCGCGATGTAGGAAGCCTCCCGTCGCGCGCTGGAGGCCGCCACTGAATCAAGTAGTTCGTGCCAGGTCTCATTGACATTTGCGAAGCAGGAGTCCGTGGCAGCGCAGCTGTCCGTGAGTTGCTGGTGATACTCGCAGAAGTGGCTCTCCAATGTGGACTGGTTCACGCGGCAGTCCTCACTGTGGTTGTTCAACGCATACAAGCTGGCAAAGTAGGCGTCCCGCAGGCCCGTCATGTTCTGCGTGAAAGAAGCAGTCCAGGACTGGATGGTTGCCGCACAGTCGATCATGCTCTGCAAGTGCGCGTCCGTCTGAGGGCTGTAGCCATTCAAAAAGTTCTGAATGCAGTCCACCACGTCCTGCGGCAGAGACTCGCTGCCAGGCTGAGATTGGCTGCCGTAGCCATGGTATGCCGCCCAGGCGCTGGCGTTCTCGGCTGCCAGGGTCTGCTCGGTGCTGCGGCAGGTGTCGTGGGCGTTGCTGGAGTCGTTGACGATGCTGCTCAGGTTCTGGCTCATAGCCTGCCGCACTGAAAGATCGACATTGCACTGAACGAAACCCTCAGCCAAATCCAACAGCAGCTGCTCGTCTGCGATATGCGAAGCGTTGATCTCCGTCAGCAGGCTCCCCATCTCCGTCAACACCGTGTTAAGGAGGCTCAGGGTTGTGTTGGTGAGGCCGAAGTCATCCCGCGACAGGTTGTAGTCACTGAGGTTCCGGGCCTCGAGCTCCGCCAGCTGCTGGAGCGCCAGCTTTTCAATGTCTGCATGGACTTTGTGCACACCCTCCAGCCTGCTCTGCTCCACCGTGCCCCCCTCACGCCGCGCGAGGCCCGGGAAGGGCCACAGCGACGCACGCGACGCATGCGACGCCGAGGACTTGCCCGTGACCTGCAGCAGAGCGGCCTGCTCGTAGGGCTCGCAGCCACTTTCATGGCAGCCCGCAGCAGCTGCGGAGGCCAAAGCAAGGAGGGCGGCCATCGTTGCAGCCATGGCCTCGCAGAGCTCATTGCAAGCACTGTCAAGCACTCATGCCATGCACATGCTAAAAAAAAGGGGCGCGCAGATGTCCTAGAATACTGTTATATCCTGTTGACCAGCATGATGCGTTCGAGGCACGGCCAGGCGTGCCGGCAACGCAAGAGACATGGCGGAATCTGGGGATGTGCCGCGGGAGCAAGAGCGAACCACGAGGCAAAGCGCCTTGGGCCAAGGCGTGATGCACCCGTCGCTTGCAGCTCTAGCAGGCTAGCAACACTAACGGAAGCTACATTTTTGCCATGAAAAGTCCTCACCTGCATCCCCCTTTCGGGCTAACGTGCTAACCTTTCCGGAAAGCCCCTTCCATGCTCAGTGATCACCCACGAGCTTCTATGAATACAGGGCCTGTCCCCGGTGCTGCCCCAGATGCTTCCCTTGATGGAAGCATTGCAACCGTGCGTGCATCCCAACAGCGCAAAAACCCACCTCGCCAAGTACCCCATGCCAACACCGGACCCCAAAAACAAACTCGCCAAGCACACATCCAGGCATCTCTTCTGCAAGAAACCCAAACCCTTGGCGTCAGGGCAACTAACGGGCACCGAAAGACGCTGGATCGCTTTGCAAATTGTGATCTCGCAGGATGAGCCCCCGCAGAGCCTCGACCATCCAGGACATACCTGGCACGCTTCTCGAGCGCACGCTTACCAGTATGAGCCTCGAAGAAGCGGTCGATGTCTTGCACTGGCTTGCCCCGTACCATTGGTTTGCGCAGCTACCCGAAGTTCTTGATGTTGAAAACTGGCCAATTGGAGCAGAACTTGCCCGCTTACAATACAGACTCCAGGGCATCAATTATCCTCCACTCCAACCATGTAAAGATACTACTAAACCTGCTACCGCACATTTCGAGGCCCCCGCTCTTTGTGACATCCTGAAGGGCCTAAAACAAAAAACCCTAAACCCATTATATACATCCCTCAGCATGGAGTATCCTGCCTGATGGGCCTCTTGATGTGGCGGAACCACAGTGTTCTTCCCTCCCCCCATAATTCACTTCGGCATCAACAACCAGGGAATCAGCCCAAGTTTCTTTAAGGTTACTGGGGCCCTTCCTTCGTCCCAAAGGTGATACCCTGCGGGGGTGTCTTCAGGTCTCGCGTTCCTGTGGCCCCTGCGTCTAAGGTTACGATGCTTCGCAGGTCAGCGTGCCCACTGAGCGCTCGTATTTTGAGAAGGGCTTTGCTTCCTCAACAAAAACTGAACCGGAACATCGCATTACACGCAAGTAGACTTTCCCTTGGAAAAACTAGAAGCCGGGATACTGTGGCAGTGCACTTTTTGGTTATTTAAGCTTGTGCGATGTCCTGGTATGTCTTGTTTCGCGTGTATGAACAAAACAAGTATGCAAGAACAATAAAGATAACTAATTTATTTTTTGTCTGTTGGTGAATATCGGCCGTCCTTTTTTCTTGGGGAGCGTCGCCTCTTTTCCACGTCAGTAGCGCAGTAAGCACGTCTGATCGCCTGTGTGTCATCTGACAAGGACCAAACCAGACAACCCCACCAACGAAGCAACAACAAACCGAAGAGAACGAGGGGACATTGAAACACGGAGGGAAACCTGATTCGCTTGCACTCTGAAGAAAGCATAAGCCACGGTCAGACTGCAGCACGAGTGAGTGCCATATCTCAAAATACGCTGGAAAATATGCCCGAAACCTCCTCATCCAAAGAACCAGCCAGTCACATCAATAAAGAGATAAGTCCACCTGAATATCTGCCGTACTGTGACACTAGCGAGCTTTCGGTTTTGTTTATCGGTGAGGTGTGTTTGTGGTTATCTTCGTTGACGTCTCGCGTGTTACAACTCAACAAAATCAGTCAAGCCCTTACTCCTCCACATCAATCTTTAAAGACATGACAATGGTTATTGTTAAAAGAAAATCTTTTAAAGTATGATCTTACAACCCAATCCAAGCATCCGTAAACCCGCCACCATGAAACCCTCCAACTTACCCCCTCAAAAGCACGCTTTTTATTGGGGAAAATTCAATTGCTACATGGGCACTTAAAGCTCGCACTCTTCCACCACAACAATACTTGTTTTAAAACGGGGGGCTTAGGGGGGAGTGCACAAACATCTGTACTGGAGGGCCCAGACTTGCGCGGGAAAACTGAGGCCGGAAAATGACCTCGAAACCGGAATCTCTCCAGGCGGCTTCTTGAGACAATGAATCTAAAGCATTGAAATTGAGGGGCAGAGGACAAGCTCTTATTCATGAAAGCCCAAAAGTGTGCCGAAATTGAACTACACACCTCACACCGAAAGCCACACACCTTGATTGACATATTACAAAAGAAAATAATTTGAAGCATGGTGAAGAACACGAGCTCTATGCTCGTGGTAGAAATCTTCGTTTGTGTTGATTAGGTTTAGGATTGGACTCATAACCTGTGAATGACCTTATTCCTGGTTGCCCACCATGGCCTTGTGTTAAGTTGTCTTGCAATAAGGGCCTCTGCGCTGGCGGTTGCTTCTTTGTAGTCACGACTTCTTTTACACTTGCTGGCTTGTACAGTTTGGCTCTCAAAGTTGATGTCCTTTGTTGCCAAGACTTGCCCACTGGGCCGCTGATGTGGTAAAGGGGCGTCCGCTTTCAAAAAATCCTGGTTGCCCACCATGCCAGTGAGAATGCCCATCACTCGTGCACCTTACACCTTCCGCACTCCTCCTTTCCACAGCCAAAGCCCCACCAAAAGCGGCCGAAAGGTGTGCGCCACCCAACCTTTCCGTCAGGCGCT